AGTAACCTCTAGAATCGATCAGCTATATATAACATTATCCAACCGCTAATCAACCAAGAACAACACCAGTTGAACTAGACAGAGGAGATTTCCTATAAGCAACTGAGAACTAAATGCCCAGGGGATTGAAAAGAAGATAGATAAAGATTTGCTCCTAAACCATCTGAATATAGAGAATACGTGGGTTATGCCAATTAAGGGCTTCAATACGTGCATGCATATTAGTTTTAAAGATGTTGCATGCTGGAGGGCATAAAACTTCAAAATTAAATGGCAAGAATTCGAAGTCTTTTTCAAACTAAGCTAGTCATATCAACAAAGATTTCGTCCACCTATTGGGGGAGGGGACTCGTAATATGTAAGAAGGAAGAACAAGTCCTTTAAACAGTCTTTTCACCTGGTATAGATCTGCGTATGTAATCTTCGGACATTTGGACTTCACCTCCTCTGCATCCAACAGAAAAGCAAATGTAAATATACTGACTGAAGTTATATCTCAACTCCATTCACAAAAGAACTCTATTCATCAAAGCTATGACATTATCCATAATGGGTTCCTACAGTTGTATAGTTGAAACTCTTAGAATCATAACATATCTACAGGTTGACTCATGCAAAACATATGCAACGGTCTTAGGATTTCCTTGGTCGACAATCATGGAAGCATTAGACCGAATACTAAACCACCCATCTTAGCATCTCTCATAAACTGAACATAAGATAATACATATACCTCAACTTTATGAAGACTGTAGGGATTTCTTTAAAGAAAGTATCAATGTCTAAAGCAATAACTATCTTCATGCATTCTATACTGATGAATATTGGAAATATATCTAAACTTGGTTAGATGAACCTAGCACTATGCCACAGGCAAGTAACAAAAGTAAATCAGAGTATGCAGATTAAGTCCCGTTGATAAGTCCAGGGTATACGGTTAAGCCAATTAAAATTGCAAACGCACTGCTTGGCCCTTCAAGAACTTGTAAGTACATAGCATCATGTTAACAAACTTGTTAACTGTCTTCGACATAACAGACAACATGCGTGCCGCCGCGCGCGCGCAGGCACTAAACATTGTAAGATAACTGATTAAGTCAACCATTACTCATCAAATAACACAAAACATAAGCAAAAGCGAAAGGCCTCCTACAGCAGCAAATGAAGGACAGCTCGATGCACCTACATCTATTTAGCATCAAATGAGCATGCAACGGGACTTGCACAATCACAACCTACAATCGCATGCTCGTCCTCCAAACTGCCGTCGATGCATGAATAGATGAACTCCAGAAACTACGTCAGGCACGGAATCAAGGCCGCGAAGGCAGAGAAAACCTAGAGGCAGGTAAGCTCAGAAAGAGCAGGGAGCGCGCTCACCACAGAAATCAAGAGCGATCTTCAAGCCAGCATTGGCGCCGTGGGAGTACTCTTCCTCGTTCCGAATCGAGCCGTTCGGACCGGCGGTCTTCGTCCTCGCGTCGTAAGTCCCGGCGTCGTGCCACCTGCAAAGACGAATCGGCCAGAAACCCCGCCGGACGTCAGGAACCGCGGGGGCCAAAAATCCGATCGACGGACTCCCGTCGCCGGCCGATCGAGGCGGGGGAAAAAAAACTTACGCCAGCCGGAGCATGATCGGAGCGCAGTTCTTGGAGGCGATGAGAGCGCGGAGGTGGCGGCGGGCCTTGTCGATCTCCTTCAGGTACTCCGTGTCGACCACCGGTAGCGCCATCGAAGGCCGAGCTCTGCCTGCTGCGCCTGTGCGGGAGCGAAATGGGAGCGAACGATGGAGGAAGTGAAGGGGTGACTGGTAGAGAGAGCAGGTTCGGAACAGAAGAGATAAACCAATTGGCGATTTTGATTTTTTGCAAATTCGTTTTTATTTTGTTTTTTTCTCCTGCCATTTTCTTTTTCGGCTAAGGGATAACTGCGGCGGGGGGGGGAGGATACAGTTTTCCGGTGTCGCGTGTGCTCCTCGCTCGCGAGGCGGCCACGTGGAGAAAGCGATGAAAAAGAGTCGTCAGATAAGGTCGTCTGTTTTTTTTTGGGTTAATACCACGAAAAACCCTAAACTGGTATACATGTGACACGTTTACCCCAAACTATTTTTTTGACCATAGAAAACCCTAAATTGGTACACCTGTGATAATTTTACCCTGAACTATTTTTTTGACCACCAAAAACCCCAAACTGGTACACCTGTGACAATTTTACCTTGAACTTACCACATGCCCAACTGATACGTATGTGACAATTTTACCCGAATTAAAATTTTAATATTATTTTTACGAATTTTTATTTATTTTTTATTCTTTTCTTTTCTTTTTTTTTTTCATCTTCAGACTTTGGTCGGTCGCCGGTCCGGCGACCGGCGAGAGGCAGGAAGCCGCGAGGGCCGCCCTCGCCGGCGTCAGCAGCGTCCCTCGCTGCGTCGGCGAGGGCGCCTCGCCGGATCTAGCGAGGCGACCCTCGCTGCGTTGGCGAGGGCCACCCTCACGGCGTCGGGCGAGGGCCGTCCTTGCCCGCCCAAGGCAAGGGCGACCCTCCCCGACTCGGGCGAGGGCGGCCCTCGCCGACGTCGGATCTTGCGAGGGCGACCCTCGCTGCGTCGGTCGAGGGCCGCCCTCGCCCTGAGTCGGGCGAGGGTCGCCTTTGCCCTGGGCGGCGAGGGTCGCCTCGCCGGATCCGGCGTCGGGCGAGGGCGGCCCTCGTCGGCTTCCGCCTGCGGCCGGTCGCCAAACTGGCGACCGGCCAGAGATTGAAGGTGAAGGAAAAAAAAAAGAAAAGAAAAGAAAAGAAAAAAGAAAAAATTCAAAAAAATATATTAAAAATTAGTTCGGGGTAAAATTGTCACATGTGTACCAGTTTGGGGTTTTTTGTGGTATGTTCGGGGTAAAATTGTCACAGGTGTACCAGTTTGGGATTTTTTATGGTCAAAAAAATAGTTTGGGGTAAATGTGTTACAAGTGTACCAGTTTAGGGTTTTTCGTGATATTAATCCTTTTTTTTGGGGGGTTTTTTTAAATCTTTTCGGAGGTATTGCACGCACTTCAACTTCTCACGCGTCATCTTTTATTCTAAGGGAAAAAACCACCAAAAACCCCAAACTTTGCCATCTGTGACACATTTACCCCGAACTTTTTTTTGTGACACCAAAAACCCCGAACTTTGCTTTTTGTGACACATTTACCCCAATGTATTTAGTCCATGGGCATTTTCGTCTTTTTTTCTTTTTTTTTTTTTTTTTTTTTTTTTCCTTTCCGGCGAGGGGGGGCCTCGCCGGCGTTGGGCAAGGGTCGCCATCGCCGGATCCGCCGAGGGGGCCCTCGCCGGCCGAGCGAGGCGGCCCTCGCGCAGATCCGGCGAGGGCCGCCTCGCTCGCCAGCGAGGGCGGACCTCGCCCGACGCCGGCGAGGGTCGCCCTCGCCCGGGCGAGCGAGGGCGGCCCTCGCCCGACTCAGGCGAGGTCGACCCTCGCCGACGCCGGCGAGGGTCGACCTCGCCTGAGCTGGGCAAGGGCCGCCCTCGCTCGCCCAGCGAGGGCGAACCTCGCTGACGCCGGCGAGGCGGCCCTCGCCGGATCCGCGAGGGCCGCCCTCGCTCGACGCCGGCGAGGGCCCCCTCGCCGGATCCGACGATGGGCAGCCCTTGCCCAACGCCGGCGAGGCCCTCACGGAAGGAAAAAAAAGAAAAAAAAGACGAAAATGCCCATGGACTAAATACATTGGGGTAAATGTGTCACAAAAAGCAAAGTTCGGGGTTTTTGGTGTCACAAAAAAAAGTTCGGGGTAAATGTGTCACAGATGGCAAAGTTTGGGGTTTTTGGTGGTTTTTTCCCTTATTCTAATGAACATATTTGTAAAGAGAGAAAGGGCGAGAGGGGCAAAAATAAATAAAAAATAAAAAATAAGAAGATGCAGTGCGATGGGTTACTAATGGAATATTAGATAATTAATCTTGGAGGAGCGACGAAAATAAATATGCGAGATTTATAATTATATCTGCTTCTTGGGACGATTAGACTAGTATATGCGTTAAACGGGCATATCGAATCGAAAATGATTTGACTTAAATTGACTCATTTAACCCGTTTGAACCCAATTCATGCAATACAAATTAAATTACTCATATCCGACCTAATCTATATTATTAAAGCACATCCATATATAACTCAATCCATGAAAACCTATAGAACCTGGAGTGAACAAATGCGTTATAGAGTTATGGTGAGAGAGAGTTATAGAGGTGAATTGAGTTTGGATATAGATAAATGAACTCATTTAACATCTATAATCCAACAAAAAAAAACAACATCCATATTACGTTTAAACTCATTTATGATTCATTTTTTCACTATAACTAATCTATATAACAACTCCGCCCATCAAATATGAAGTATTAAATGAGTCTATAACCCATTTTGATAGATCTAGTGATTAGGCACGTAGATTGACATAATCAACATGTTATTTATACCCGAGCATTCAGGAGTTTTTGTCAATAATTACGTGACGATGCGTATACATGCACGTCTAAATAGGAAATGACGATAGAGGGCAATGGCACAATAACCTTTGGTGCCAGGTCGTGCCGAAATGGGCGCAGGTGCCAGGTGAGGAGATCCACAAATCGTGGAGAGGCACAAGGGAGGGAGTTTTATCATGAATCGTTTGACCCTGATTTTAGGAGATATCCTGCTGGAGGAGGAATGTCGGAAATGGATAGGAACGGAGGGAGCACATGAACCAGCATCCGGTTCTAGTCTCGCGATTATAGAGTAATCTGGTGGTTGACCATATCCCTGGCGAGAATTCCACAACCGTATCGAGAATGGAGAGAATCATGGACATCAGACAACAAACTATCGATAATTCAAGAGAACGGCACGGTCCAATATCGAATATAAGTCGACAACCGTTTCACCAGGCACATGCAGTATGCCGCCCAGCTGCGACTTCGACGAATCTGTCATGAGGCCTCGGACAAGCACAAAAAACAGCATCGCCATAACAACTTTCTCCTATTTCTTTCCCCCAGGTAACAGCAGAGAACGCCACAGCATAATCTGCGTTTCGCCGGCTAGAAAAGCCCACCTGGTACGGATAGCTAATTTACATTGGAGAAAAGAATGCCGGGCAAGCAAAATCAAAGGTTGCATGTTGTTTGCAGATTTTATTTCTTTGATGTGTATAACAAACAAACAATTCTGTACGGTTTCTATGGTGACTGAAATCGTTTTTTCTTTCATTGTGATTCTGAAGCCAAAGCATATCGAGAACAGAAAACGAACAGCAACTCAGGAAGTCCTCCATTGCATCTCTATTTGGATCCGCCCATTTTTCGAGTCAATAAGATGGTACTTCTCATTGATTCTTTTGTTGCTCACAACATCAGCAAGGCTTATGTCGACATAGCCCAGCGATTCCTGGTAAGAGAAAAGGAAACGAGCAATTCAACCACATTAGCCAGACGATCAAGTTTAGTCACATGTAATAATGATAAATGAAGATCACTGAAGAAATCTGCATAGATACTCCAACTACTTCTATCAAACTAAAGAAAAAAGACAAATTTTGTCTCGTGATTTGCATTCAGCTGAGTTACAGACGTTTTTTATTGGTTCCATCAGCATATAAGGCTAGGATGCACAAACTGCATAAAACTCTTCGTTTTTCTAACATAAGCTATCCACTGCCTACAAATGGAAACCTTCTAACAAATTACAAGCCTTTTCTCAACCCAAACATGCAATATGGCTAACTCAGAATAAAAGGAGCATAGCCATGAATTATGCTGTTTCAGACTCCTGATAAATCACTATTACACATTTGTGCAGCTTCCTGGAAAGCATAAGCTGTGGGTGATGCTGGCATTTATTACCTTTAACCGGAGACTTTGAATGGCTCGTGTACTTCCAACCACATATTCAGGTTAGTAATTATACTATTAAGTGATCAATCATCTTACAGAAAGGGCTTTTGCTTCTTCGTTCCTTAGATAATGATCAAAATCATACTTCCAGAAGAGGGTTAAATAACTTCAACAGCATGAGAATCACATACTCCACCATGCCTTTAATGGAAGCAACTCAAACGCTTAAAATCAAGCTCAGATTACAACGGCATCCTCCAATCTTTCAAGATCATGATATGATGCTGACTCGAGACATGCGTTATTCTCATCTCCTATTGCCAATTTTTAGGAGATTGCAACCCCAACTTTAGATATCCTTCAAAGACTAGAAGCACCAGAGCCAGAGATAGGAATTCCATGTCATGATTTGACCAAAGTATAAAATGCCTTGGTAAATGTTTGTAGTCTATATATACCTTAGGATGTAGCAGACCTATCCTTGACGAGGCGCTGAGAACTTCAATATGCATCTTCTCATTGGTAGGAGGTTCATCCAGTGTGAAATGGAACTCCTCCTCCCACCTTGGATCTCTGTTCTTCTTCACGGGCTGTGCAAGTTCCAATTAAAATCAGTATCTATGGACCACACATAGTCGAACATGAACTTTGTAATTCTAAATGGGGACCAGTAAGATTGACAAAACTAATCAAGGCATGAAATATTTTTCCAGTTAATAAGTGCAGCTATGTAGAACTTCATAATTTGTTGCACTGAACAGAAAGGAGTTCTCTGTTCGTGAAGAGAGTCTCCTGCCTCAGTATCAATATCACAACTATTGTTTTTCCACAGAGCACGAGAAATATTAGACGAAGATTTCCAAGGTACAGAATGAATCGATCAATCAACAATAGGAACTTGGAACATGCTTCCCTCTCAAAGTCAGAAACTGTATTTCAAATGAGGTTGGGAAGGGCATTCCACCTTAGTTTTTCTATCCTCTCCTCTGAAAAGTATCCGCGCATATGGATTGGTGTGATGCTTTCCTTCAACATCTTGCGCTTCATGAACTATAACAGCAAGCAGACCTCCACCAGCTGGAGTTCCTTCAGGGGCATTCTGAACCGTGTTTGATTCGTCAAAACCCACAGGTATCTCCTCTTCTTTGAAAGGCTTATATGTAAGCTCCACCACAAGCTGCCCTCGTGATTTATCATTTATAGGATCATTAGGATCCATTGTTTTGAGGAGGTTAAGAGTCATCTCTTTTGGCTCGTCAGGGGGTAATTCCTTCAGTGGAATTACGTACATACCCATTTTTTCATGTTTGCCTACCTAGACAAGATACAAGACAGTTTCAGTATCCAGCGCATAACAAAAAAAAAAAGGAAAGATGAGTACCCCTAGTATCTCCACGTATCTCTACCTGCTCCCAATCATATACATTAAGTTCCAAGGCCTGTGACTCTGGATCTTTAACAACAAGATTGAATTCCTGATTCCACTCAGGGTTCAAGTTCCTATGCTTCACAGTGGTTTTCTTTGAAGGAAGCTTATCCTCCGTAAGCTTCAATTTCACATAAGGATCTGATGCACCCAGCAAATCTTTCTTCTTCAGCTTAATTGCCTTCACAACCTTCACATGCAGAATTCCTACAGGCCTCTTCATCGCCCTGCAAATTCAAATTTCATTAAATCAACCTAGTCATGATCACATATATGCATATCACATAAGCTCAGATGTGCATACTTTGTTAAGTCCAGTATCGGTATTTCAAGTGTCTTGGGCCAAAGATACATGCTCGCAACCTGATCTTTTATGAGCTCCTGCAGATAAGCATAAAAAAAATTTCTAAAAAATGAGATCGACATGTAGACACCCCATTAAATTCTGTCTCACAAAAAAAAGGCAAAAATTACACCTCCATGAACCTTGTTAAGAACATAAAGTTGACTAAGAAACAAAGAATGGTTGTATTTGATAAGTACAACGTACAAATACATAGAACAAGAACAACAAACGGCAACAACAAACAAGCTGCAAGATGTCACAAAGCCTTCACTAGGGTTACAACAACAAAAAGTAACTCACTTCATTACTTAGTCAAGTAAATGTCCCATGTCGAGATTAAAAAGCTCAAAGTCATGCATAAAATGTTGTCACCTGGTGTAGAAGTGGCGAAAGAAGACTTGAAAAACCACAGGAAACCTCAGAAGATATCAGCCTTCTACTCTTTTGCAAGTTCCTTATTAATGAATTAAACTTTAGTCCTCTGACCTTATTTACCTATCTGTTTTTTTTCATTCCAACATGCAACCGGGAGTGCATACAGCAAAGAAATGCTAGCCATCTAGATCATCAAATAGTCACTGGTCTCTTTTCCTAAACATCACTTTGCATACAAAAACAAATAAGGGACAGGGTTCTGCTCCCCCACCCCCCAAAAAGGAAAAAAGAACCAACAGACGAGTTATTTTTTTCTCTATTTTTATTATGGGGGAGGAGGGAGGGGGGAGAGAGAGATTTGACCAAATGGGGTCATAAAATTTGTTAGGACATTATACAGCACCTGAACAAATCTATAAAGACCGGGTATTGACATGAGATCAGCACCAACGAGCTTCAGCCCAAAATCAACGTGTGGCTGCAAAAGAACAGATACTTCAGAGAGAAAGTCCAGACATAATTTAAGAGAAATATTATATGTACCCAATTATCTGCATGTTCACAACAAATCCTACATGAGGACACACCCATGCATCAACTAACCTTTTCCATGAGAGACACGAATATATTGGCAAAACAAGGAAAGCTGGGAACCAAGGGCTTCAGAGTAATTCGTGGTGAAGCAAATACTTGCAAATCAACTACCTGTAAGGTAACCACAAAAGGATCAACTTCTCAGCACCACCAAAGATGAGATGAAAAAGATTGGAGATTTGTCTTTACGGAACTAATATTTCCTTTACATGGAGACAAGTCACTTACCTGAACAGTTGCCTTCAAGCCAAATGCTTTAGCAGCAACAGTGATATCAGGATTTCCAGCCCATTTCAAGGATGGTTCCATAATCAGCTCCTTCTCATCAGTGACATAAACTTTCATACCTAAAAGGGATATATTATCTCAATGGAACGAAAACAGAAAGTGTTTTGACAACTTCCAAAATTTACCTCTGAGAGTTAATACAAGAAAACAGATCTACACCCAAAAAATTGCTAACTAGATCTATTACAGCCAAAAAGCTGCTAAATCATCTCATAAACAGGAATTCTTTGGTATGGAAAGAGCCATAAAGAATCTATTGAACAGATAATAACCACCAAGGAAGAAACATTCATAGTTGCCAGGATGCGTAATGTTTTTACACCTCTTCATAGCACAGATTCATTGACGGGTTGGATTTTTACACTCCAATAAAAGAAATTGACCTACTAGTTATTAGTGAGTCTCTGTTCATGGAAAAGCGAACAAAAATCGTCTGACCATTCAATAATTATGGGAAGGACACTATTTTATTCTTTGCCACACTATATATCTTTGAAAAGTGTTCCCCTAATAAATAACTCAGTAAAGGTAAAAGCACAGCATATATGATTTCTCATAAGCACACATCTAGCAAACTAGCAGGTAAATTAGCTGTTTCCCCTAGGTCATGCCTTAAGAAAAACCCGAAAGAGAATTCCTGATTCTCAGTGGAAATTGCTGGAAGTGTGTAAATACCATCTAAGTGAGAATTTTCCAGCAGTGACTGTCAACAAAAGGAATTAGCCCCCAGAAAGCTGAGAGGCTGAAAAGGCAAGTTTGCACCGGAAAGTAAACATATGCAAAGTATATAGAGATACTCACCTTGAAAAGTTGGTGGTAGTGTCCCTAATGTGAGTTTTTCAAATTCAACAGAGTCAATCTTGTACTTGGGAATTTGTTCTTCTATTATAGGTTTTGCAATATTCTTTGCAGTCTTGCAGATTGCCTGCTTGAAGTAAAAAACAGAGGCAGAGAAGTTAGATAAATAATAACACAAGCAAGAGGAAAAAGAAATGCAGAACTCAAAAACATCATAGTAACAAACCTTGTCGAGATAAGGCCACATATATCGCAAAAATGTGTTCAGCCAATCAACCTATAAAAAGAAACACAGTGAAAATATACTCATCGAATGCTGCTTCTTTTTTAAAAATCTAGGAAGCTGTCCAACGCACTTAAGCAGTTTATATTGTTAAACCCAGATCATACCCGGTCATAATCAGGACTCTTCACCCAAAGGGGTATCTCAGGAAGCAATCGCTGCAGACTTTCTGTATCTTGCTCGACCAGAGGACGGATGATGGGATCCTGAACATGACAATACGCAGCACGCAAGGATCAACAAAATTGAACTAGCCAAAATTTCTTAATCGATTAATTGAGTTCCATTTTTATCACCAAAAAGTAAATATTGTAGCACGCAAAACTCTCTTCGATCGCTGACCACCTCTACTTCTTAGGGTGAAGACACAACCTTTTGATGCAACCTGATCCTTCGGAAAGTATGGTCCTTGTGTAATAAGCTCAAATTTTAACCATGACCCAAAAAAAAACGAGTTTTACTAAACATCCAGATTCCATCAATTGGTCTCCTGCGTCCTGCCATTTCTAGGACACATCAACCTCAAAGCATGCATTACATATCTCGACAATATAGCCACCAGTGTATGCAGCCTAAATCTTCCGCCCCAAATAAACTATAAACTCATTGCTTTCAATGTAGCACTAGGGCCAATTCTGCAGGAATGAAGCTTCACGTCAATGTACACTCCGAATCAGAAGAGGTCCAATATCATAACTCTATAGCTCGATTTCATTTCCGGTTTCCGACACCAAAAAAGAAAAACAAAAAAACCTCGGAACGAAATCTCAGACTTGCTGGTATTACTCAGGCACGGAAATTACCCGAAACCGTAGATGAGCACCTGAACCGCCACCAACAGCCAAAACGAAACAAACCAGTCTAGAACTCCAGCAAAATGTAGAAAAAAAACGAACAGTCGACGAGAGAATAGCGAGCAGCGTGCAAGCAAGTCGCTGACTACTAACTGCAGTTGGACATCTATTCATTCAACCAAGCGATCGAAACAATCCGCTACGATATTCAAAACCAGCATCCGTAACAGCGACAGAACGAACCTTAACATCGTCGGGCTGGAAGTATATGAAGAGGTAGTACCCGACCACGAGACCGAGAGAAACTCCAACCCCGAACCCGCAGAACCCCAGTATGGTACTGAAGAACCCCATTTCCCAAATCGAGCTCCCTCGCTGATATATAGCAAAAACCAAAACTCCTCCGACGACCAATCCCGCTCGGAACTCGCGCCGACGAAGATGAGCGGACGGGCCGCCCCTCTCCGGATCGCAAATCCGAGCAAAACGCAGGCGGCGACGAAACAGAAAACGAGAACAGCCAAAGGAGAAGGAGAAGCAGAAGAGGAAGAAGATGACGACGAAAACGGAGATGTGGATAGAGAGCGAAACGGACCGCCGGATCGCCGGCGTCGTCGCGGATCTGAGAAGTAGCCGCGGCGCTTTTGCGCAAAAGTCGGCAGGATCGATGACGAAGCTTTGGACAGAAGAGAGAGGGAATGGGAGTTGACGCACGGAGAAAGCAAGAGACGATGCGCAGAGGGGGATCTTTTGATATACTTTTCCTCGTCGAACTGCGCGACGTTGGTTCGGTTCGTTATTTCGGCGGAGCTTCCCCCCTCCGCCGGCGGTGGGCCCGGGTCCTGACCCGATACTTGGCGGGATTCCCGTGCCGACGCGTGGCGGTGCCCCGTCCGAGGCGTCGGGTCCTGCTTGATTTGAAAGGGCTGATTCGCCTGTTCGGGTAAAATTTCGAATTTTTGCGTGGGAATCGCCTGGCCTGGGGGTCGATGCAAGGCCCGTTGGAGATGTGGGTCCGAAACGATCGGGTCGGGCTAGAGGGTCAAGATCCGCGACCGCGCGGACTTTGGTTCGCCCGCCCGGGAAAAAGCACGCTAAAAAAGCGGACGCCCCGGGTCAGACACGGATGTTTTTTTTTTTTTAAGATTCCACCCGACCGATTCGTATGTCGGCTGGACACGCTTTTCGGGTTTACCGGGTCCGATTTCTACTTTTCTTCGAGGCGAATTTGTTTGATCCTTAAAGTGGAATTCGGTTAAGTCGTTGTGATTTGAAATTTCGATTTATCTGCCGTGTGATATTATGAAGTAGGTTTCATTATCTTGGCCACGTAGGTCGTGAGGAATTCAACGGGACAACTAAGGCTGCGCATGACAACTTGCCAAACAGTGTTTGATTCTGTTCTTTTATTCCCAGAATCAGTTTGGGAACAGAAATGCGTTTGTTTAATTTTTTGATTCTGGGCACAATTTTGTCAAAAATTATTCCCAGAATCAGTTTTGGAGCAGAATCAAGAATAAAAAAAAATTAGCTTTTTGATTCTGGAAACAATTTTGAGAATCAATTTTTTTTTCTACTTCATTTTCTTAGTTTTTAATTTAGCTTCTAATGTCCGGCCCGAGGACCGCCCTCGCCGGATCTGACGAGAATAAAATATTATTAATAAAAAATATTTTACCGGCCATGGCCATAAAAAAAGAAAAAATATATATTTTTAATAAAAAATATTATTAATAAAAAAAATATTTTACCTGCCATGGCCGGTAACCAGGCCATGGCAAAAAAAGAAAAAATATATATTTTTAATAAAAAAAATTAATAAAAAATATTATTAATAAAAAAATTATTTTACCGGCCATGGCCAACAACTAGGCCATGGCAAAAAAAATGTATATTTTTAATAAAAAAATTATTACTAAAAAAAATATTTTACAGGCCATAGCCGGCGATCAGGCCATGGCAAAAAAAAAGAAAAAAATATATTTTTAATAAAAATATTTTAATAAAAAAAAATATTTTACCAGCCATGGTCGGCGACTAGGCCATGGCAAAAAAAAATAAAAATATTATAATAAAAAAATTATTTTACCGGCCATGGCCGGCGACCAGGCCATGGCCCAAAAAAATAAAAATGTATATTTTTAATAAAAAATATTATTAATAAAAAAAATATTTTACCGGCCATGGCCAAAAAAATAAATATATATTTTTTAATCAAAATATTTTAATAAAAAATATTATTAATAAAAAAAATATTTTACCGGTCATGGCCGGCGACCAGGCCATGGCCAAAAAAAAGAAAAAATACTTTTAATAAAAATATTATTAATAAAAAAATATTTTACCGGTCATGGCCGGCGAGCAGGCTATGGCCAAGAAGGAGGAAAAGAAAAAAAGAAAAGAAAAAAAAGAAAGAAATATTAAAATATTTAAAAATATTATTAATAAAAAGAAATTTTGTGACGTTACCAAACGCATTTTTGTTCTTTTTCTATTCCAGGGATGGAATCTTGGGCTGTTAACAAACGCCTTAAAATGCTCAGAATCAATTCCGGGCACAGAATCAAAAAGAATCATTTCTGAGCAGAATCTGTTCCCAGACACAGAATCGTTGTCATGCGCAGCCTAATAGTCCTCCGAAAAGTTGGATTAAAAGAAATGTCACCAAGACAATAATCTCATAATTCCATACGTGAATACATCCTCGATTTCGACCGGTGTCAAACTACACTGGTGATTAGGATATACTCGTCTTCGTGAACGATACTCTGACATGACTATACATTGAAAGACGAGCAATTAAATTGGTGCGAAATAGGAAGAAGATGTGTGCCTTTCACCAATGTCATCCAAAGCCAATTTAATGATCCGTTTATTTAAAAGAAAAACTATTTTCGGAAAATTATTTTTCGAATTTTCTGATACTTGGATGACGGAACACCAATCGATTTATGGAAAAACTTTTTCATGAACTAAAACCAACAAGTTTAGATTTGAGGAAAACGATTTCCGATTCTAACAGAAAGAAATCACTTTTCTAAACCTCAAAATGAATTAAAACTAACCATATTCCTTGATGATGATTTTCATGGAAATGATTTCCGTGAATTTTTTTTCCCTTTATTACACAGCGAAACAAAGTACACCTTTAAGCTTGGCATATGGTTGGATCCACATGCATTCGAGGAATTGTGGATAGGCTATTTTTTCTTGGCTCAGTTTGCCGAGTTAGGCCTATCTAAACACACCATCTAATCTAGAAATGGGTCAAGCACGGATTAAGGCACTATTGGTTTAGCTTTTCTAAGAGGCTTTCAGCCTCTAAAGTCTCTTAGGAAAATGCTGAGGCGTTTGGCAAGTATTCTCAAGGGTCTTTCAAGTGAAAGCTAACATTGGGAAGGTTGAAAACCAGGACTAGTTTTGGGTTTTCAGTATTGGGTAAAATGACGAAACTAATTTTTTTGTTCCAAACTATTCTCACTAATTCTTTAATTTTCTGGTTCCCCTCGGTTGTTACCATTCATCCTCTTTGCGCGAGGGCGATCAGTCAAAGTCAACGAGGCTAGATCGGGACAGCGAGAGGGCGGTGAGGTCACATGACCCCAGTGATGGCTACTTGAGGTCGCATGATTGCCCAGGCGATAGTCACCTAAGCTTTGTCGCTTGGGTCGTGCGACCCCAAGTGATAGTCAATTGGGTCACGTGACTCCCACGATGGTTGCCTGGGTCACGCGATCTCAAATATCGTCGTGTGACCTTGGGCAAGGGCCACTTGGGTCGGATCTCGCTCGCCGGCGGCCGTAGCCCTTCGCAAGCTCTAACGAAGGATTTGCTTTTTTTTAATAAAAAAATAAAACCAAAATCCCTTTGCAAAAAAAATTGCCAAACACTACTTGGTCCAAAATAGCTTTACAAATGATTTTTTACCGAATGCAATTTGTTTTCCTTCATGCTCGCTTGATTAGGTTATAGATTAGGGTTTATTTAGTTGTGCGTTGGGCTTAGTTTAATTAGATTTTTTAGGGGGTTAGGTTTCCTTTGAGGTGGACTGGCCTCGCGTATTAGGCCTAGTCTAGCTAAAGGCCTGAGGTAGAGGACTCGGGTCCATCCCAACCCGACTCAGATCCCTTTTCCAGATTAAAAAATATTTTGAAAAAAATAAAAAAATCTGAAAAATATTATATTGCCTAGAAATTAGATTTTGAGTAGTTAACTTTTAAAATGTGCGAAAATCCTTGATCAGAAAGATTTTCTTTACTCAAAATTGAATGAGCCTTTGGGGCTTTAGAATAGGTTGTTATTTGTTCTTAAAGACACGTAGGTACAAATTTTGGATTTTTTATATCGTAAGAAAAAGTGTACGGTAGACATGTTACAGTAGAATAGTTTAAAGTTTTTGATGTCATAAAAAAAATGTTGCAAAGTAAATATATCACAACGGGTATAGTCTCAAAAATTTTCATAACCTTTTTCCCAAAGAATTAAGCAAAACAGAGAGCGAAAATGGAAGGGAGATTGTTGGCAGTGCAATGGGGTCAAGGTAATGCTTCGCAACGAGTGTCACCATTAATTTACGGGAGATTGACTTTTCATGTATTGTATTAGATTGGGTTATTACCATTAAAAATCCTAAACTTATATACCCATGACAAATTTATCATGAATTAAGTTTTGGGTCATCATAAATCAAGTTTTGGGTCGCCATAAATTAAGTTTTGGGTACACCTATGACAAATTTGTTCAAAACTAAATTTTGGGGTCACCCAAAACCTCAAGCTAATAACGCTCATGACATATTTACTATCTATTAGCTTTCGATAAATTTTACCATAAAATTTCCGAGCTAAATGACATATGACAATAACTCAATTGACATGACAAATCCACGTAGAAATCCTTATTAATTTGAAGTAAATTTGTCGCAGGTATACCAATTTGAAGTATTTCGTGACTCAAAAATTAGTTTGGGGGTTTACTAGTTTGAAGTTTCTGATGACTCAAAAATTAGTTTGTGATTTTTCATGAGTGTACGAATTTGAAGTTTTTCATAATATTAACCCTATTAAATTTGGTCATGGTATCACGATCGTCGGTGGACCCAGGCATGGCCCATGCCACGAGGGCAGAAGACATTTTTGGATGGGCTTGGGAAATGGCATTTAGTGAGAAAAAGTGTGACCTAAATCGAAGATTTGAATATGGATTTTTATGGTAAGAAAGTCTGGGCAAAAATTTCGACTCAATTTAAACGAGCTTGTCCAATGATTATGTTTAACCTATATGGTGTTTGTGCACTTCCAACGTAGTATTTTGTGACCGTGCATTGCCCAAATTTGGCAGCACTGACGATTTCGCGAGAGCTCGATAAAGGATATCGAAAATTTGCTGGTGGTTCGGCGAACTACCCTGTAGCCATACCCAACCTTTCGTGTTTTCGCGGGTGTTTGAACGGCATTTTTCTCGAGCTTTCATATATTGCGATCTAAGCGATCATCGTAGCTACCAAAGAAGTCCCATATCAACGTGAATTGATCCAACTGATATTAAGGTTATGCCGATTCGGCACGACAACCTACACCCGTATTATTATTTCCATATCCATAGAAAAAAATAAAAAGATATTCAATCGAGGGACCTAATTAAACAAAAAAAAGAATTCGAAGACTTGATTGTACGTTCTCACCAAACGTTCGAAAATCAATACCGTCTCCATCCCTATTTTCAATTTTTTCCAAGCACCTAGGCCGATCCGCTGGCACGAAACCATCTATTCATGCGACTAATATCGACTGGACCCCGGTCACTACAATCAAGTCCCCCCACGCAAAGTGAAATTTCCGAGGTTACCCAATTCCACGAGACGAGTGTGAAACCTCGAAAAGCCAAATAGCCAAAAAAAGTTTTTTCGGGGGAAAAACAGAACAAACCCCACGAAACGCTACCTTGTCAAGAAGAGAAAAAAACAAGGAACCCGGCGAAAAAGGGCCAAAAAAAGAAAAGAAAAGAAAAGAAAAGAAGAGGGACAAGGAAAACAATAATGATAAAGAATAAGACCATCGTGGCACGTTACAAAATTTCACTCCCTATAGTCCCTACCGCCCCACGACGAACGAGACGGACCAAAAAGCTGGACGGGGGAAGAGGCGAAATTCACCACCGCCATGGAAGCTCCCTCGCCTTATTATATTCTCCCCTCCCACTCACCTCCTCTCTGACAAGCGAATAAATCTCGCCTCGCTTCGCTTCCTCCCTCCCCTCTTCCCATCTCGCTTTATTCCCCCCCCTTCCTTCCTCCCTCCCGATTAGGGTTTTCGCCTTCACCCCCCTCATTTCTCTCTCGCTCTCGCGCACACCCGAGCTCCTCTGCACACACTGTCTCTCTCTCACCCTCGCATCAGCCTCCATCGATTCGGAGTCGCGGAAGGGCACCCCTCGTACTCTCCCCGATTCGCAGGTACGGAGCGCTCGCCCGGGTCTTTTTCCTCGAGCGCGATTTGATGGGATTCTTTTGATATCTGGTGGGCGATTGCAAATTTTCTCAACTTCTTCTTAGGTTTTTTTTTTTTTTTGGGGGGGAATTGGGGTTTCTCGCTCGTGCGGTTTCGATGCGACGTGGGTCGTGATTGTTGTTGTTGCTGGTTTTGTTTTTTTTGTAGGATCCGGCGCGGTGAGATGAAGGCCGGGATCCGATCGTGCGCGACCGGGTGATTGCGCGAGCCATCCGTTTTGAGGGGTGGTTTTGTAATTGTATGGAAACTCGGAGCCGGAAGCGGGCGGAGGCCACCTCATCAGCCCCTTCTTCGTCTTCTCAGTCCGGTCCCGCCACCCGCTCCGCCAAGCGCGCCCGCGTCTCCAACGCCACCGCCTCCTCCTCGTCCTCCTCCGTCCCTTCCGTGTCCACCCGCTCCCGCACCACCCGCGCCCGCGACGCCCTCCCCCCGCCGCCCCTGCCCCCCGCCGCCCCTGCCCCGATGGAGTCCACCGAATCTTCGGGGTCCCGCCGCGACCGCAGGAGGAACAATACGGATAATTCCGATAAAGGTAAAGAGAAAGAGCACGAGGTCAGGGTCAGGGAGAGGGAGAGGGAGAGGGAGAGGGAGGCAGAGAGAAGCCTAGGGCTGAATATGGACCGCGACGGCGGGGTTGAGGATGATGATAACGACAGCGAGGGCGGAGTTGGCATTTTGCACCAGAATCTGACTTCGGCCAGTAGTGCCCTTCAAGGGCTTTTAAGGAAATTGGGTGCTGGATTGGATGACCTGCTTCCGTCATCTGCTATTGCGTCTGCTTCTTCGTCGCATCAGAGCGGTCGGCTCAAGAAGATTTTATCTGGGTTGCGTGCAGATGGCGAGGAAGGGAGGCAGGTGGAGGCATTGACACAGTTGTGTGAGATGCTGTCAATTGGGACCGAGGACTCGCTCAGCACTTTCTCCGTGGATTCCTTTGTTCCGGTACTTGTCGGGTTGCTTAATCACGAGAGTAATCCAGACATCATGCTCCTTGCCGCGAGAGCTCTTACGCATTTATGTGATGTGCTGCCCTCATCTTGTGCCGCCGTGGTGCATTATGGTGCTGTTTCATGCTTTTGTGCCAGGCTGCTTACTATAGAGTACATGGACCTAGCTGAGCAGGTTAGTTGTGGTTTGATAAAAGCATCAATAGATGGAATATGTCTGGTAATTTGTCGCGTGTGGCAAAGTGCCACCCATGTTGGTTAGGGCCTTAATTAAGTCTGCTTGATAATTGCTTTGCCTTTGTGAAATTTGTTTGCTTTGTGTAATTTATATTGACACTATGGTCTTTATAAATGAGGCAGTCTCTCCAAGCCCTTAAGAAGATCTCGCAAGAGCACCCTACTGCCTGCTTACGAGCCGGTGCTCTCATGGCGGTGCTTTCGTATCTGGATTTCTTCTCCACTGGAGTGCAGGTGATTGATTAACTGAAGCTTCTAACTTTGAGGTGATAGTGGCGCCATTTGTACTTCTTTAGATCTAATCAAAACACGTCTGCGTGTGTTGTTTTTTAGCGAGTGGCATTGTCTACTGCTGCCAACATGTGTAAGAAACTCCCGTCTGATGCGGCTGATTTTGTGATGGAAGCAGTTCCATTATTGACAAACCTTCTTCAATACCATGACGCCAAGGTAACAGCTTATTCTTTACATGACGGGTGAAGAAAGTTGTGTTTTTGTTCAATTGCCCATTACATCACTTTCTATCCTTTTTAATTAGGTAGCATAATGAAAAGGATATGAAATCCCTCAACAGTGTTAATGGTCGGTTCCTTCATCTCCACTTTTAATGTTAACAGGTGCTAGAGCATGCTTCTGTATGCTTGACTCGGATTGCAGAAGCATTCGCCTCATCTCCAGATAAGCTAGACGATCTGTGCAACCATGGACTAGTAACACAAGCTGCGTCACTTATCTCAACTAATAATTCTGGTGGTGCCCAGGCATCTCTCAGCACGCCTACGTACACGGTTAGCTCAGTAACTGCCTCTGCTTCCACTTTCTATGCTCAGTTTGTGCAAATCTTGATCTATGCTGTGTGCAGGGATTGATCCGGCTGCTTTCAACTTGTTCAAGTGGCTCCCATTTAGGAGCTAAAACATTGCTTCTCCTAGGAATAAGTGGCATCCTTAGAGATATTCTGTCAGGATCTGGTGTGTCTGCTAATGGTTCTGTTCCGCCTGCATTGACTAGACCACCTGAGCAGGTAAATTTCAACATTCCCCTAAATAAGCTTCTGGTTCTTGCGAGTTCTTCATTGAAGTTACTGCAAAATAGTAATCAATATATATTGTGTTTATATTTGGTTGTCTCCATTTCATCCTAGTTTCAGGTTTCTGTTTGATCGATCATTTTCGAGTTCGTTTTTCAGACTGAGCATGATTTCTGCCGGTTCTCATGACTATCAATAAGTTAACCGTAGACATAGTCTAGTTACTGCTATGCGCATGGACATGGGATCCACATAACTTAAGTATACTCCAATTGGGTCGCCTTCACTGTGGTACCACTTGTCTCCTCGGCACGAGACAATGCATCGACTTGCGCAGTGCCTCCTTGTGTTGTCAGGTTGGTACTTCAATTGGGGAGGTGTGCTGTAGCTTGATAGTCAGTGAAGTAACCATCCCGCTCTCTATTACCTGGAGAACAATGTGGAAGTTCGTGTTGGAGAAATGAATGGAGGAGGTTTTTTAATTTTTGACTCAAACCCGTATCTTAGTTGCTTAGCAAAATAGGGAGGTAATTACGGTGCAACAAGTTATTCCAGCCTCATGTGGTTTAAACCATCATTTTTTTAGATCGAAATCCAACTTATATTTAAGGGACTCTTCTATCATTTGCAATTAGCTGAAAATCACCTCGCTAATTGTTTCAATGATGTTGTTTTCCTTGTCAATTTTGACTTACAACTCTTCTGTTTATCGTCATTTACATCTTAATTGTCCAAATTATGGCTTTTCTGGTATCTACTCCCCTTCATTCTTCACGAGGGCAGGCTCTGCTCTATGCTACTTTTGGGTGTCCTTGGCACTAGACATGGCCCCTAGGAGGATTGTCGTGCACTTTCTTCTTGTCAAATTGTTATGATCTTTGTATACGGATCACTTGATTATGTACAGATTTATCATCACTTTGTCCTGCTGATATACATTGTTGTGCAGATTTTTGAGATTGTAAACCTGGCCAATGAGCTTCTTCCACCGCTGCCTCTAGGAACGATTTCCCTTCCTGTTAGTTCGTACTTATTTGTGAAAGGGCCGATGTTGAGAAAGTCCCCTACCAGCAATTCAGGGAAGCAAGAAGAATCTAATGGTAATGCTGTGGAGGTTTCAACTCGAGAGAAATTATTGAATGAGCAGCCTGAGCTGTTGAGGCAATTTGGGATGGATCTGCTTCCTGTCCTGATACAGGTCAGGTTTTAGTGTACTTATTGTTCGGATAATGTTTGCTTTGGTTATTAATAAATAGTTGCTTTGACATGCTTAGCAGATCTATGGTTCTAGCGTGAATGGTCCTGTTCGTCACAAGTGTCTCTCTGTCATAGCGAAGTTGATGTACTTCAGTACTTCTGAGATGATCCAATCACTTTTAAGTGTGACTAACATATCAAGGTATTTTATTTTTCACAAGAGGATTTGCAATGCGCTCTTCCTTAAGTAATCCTAACACAGAGTTTTACACCTTCTGTAGTTTTCTAGCTGGTATCCTAGCATGGAAAGATCCGCATGTCTTGGTTCCTGCGTTACAGATTGCGGACATTCTTATGGAGAAGCTTCCCGAGACTTTCTCCAAGATGTTTGTCAGGGAAGGCGTTGTTCATGCGGTAGATCAATTGATCTTGGCAGGGAATCCAAATTCTGGTTCTGCTTCTGCTGAGAAGGATAATGACTCTGTTACTGGATCATCACGCTCTAGGCGATATAGACGACGAAGTGGTAGCTCGAACCCTGAGGGGACTTCAGTGGAAGAATCTAGAAATTCACTTTCCATAAATGTTGGATCACCTCCAGGCTCTATAGAAATTCCGAATGCTAATTCCAATCTTCGCACGACAGTTAGTGCATGTGCAAAAGCATTTAAAGACAAATACTTCCCTTCGGATCCCGGAGCCACCGATGTTGGAGTAACAGATGATCTCTTGCACTTGAAAAATCTTTGTATGAAACTAAATGCCGGCATTGATGATCAGAAGATGAAAGCCAAGGGAAAATCAAAAAATTCTGGATCTCGATTACCTGATAATTCTGCTAACAAGGATGAATACTTGACTGGGATCATATCTGAGATGCTGGCAGAGCTAAGCAAAGGAGATGGTGTATCTACTTTTGAGTTTATAGGGAGTGGTGTTGTTGGAGCTTTGCTTCATTACTTCTCCTGTGGCTATTATTCGAAGGACAGAATTACAGAAGCTAATCTTTCCAGACTTCGCCAGCAAGCATTGAGGAGATATAAGTCATTCGTGTCGGTTGCTCTTCCATATGGTAATGGTGAGGCGGCTGTAGCTTCTATGACTGTTTTAGTGCAGAAGCTTCAAAATGCTTTGTCATCTTTAGAACGCTTTCCGGTGGTCCTAAGTCATTCATCAAGGTCATCTAGTGGAAGTGGTCGCATCTCTTCTGGGCTCAGTGCATTATCTCAGCCATTCAAGCTGCGTCTTTGCCGTGCCCAAGGAGAAAAATCTCTTCGAGATTATTCTTCAAATGTGGTGCTCATCGATCCCTTGGCAAGTTTGGCAGCTGTTGAAGAATTTCTCTGGCCTCGAGTTCAGCGAAGTGATTCCGGTCAGAAGCCCTCACCGTCTGGAGGTAACTCAGAATCAGGGGCAACTCCTGCTGGTGCTGGTGCTGGTGCTTCATCTCCTTCCTCGTCTACGCCTGCATCCGCCACTCGTCGTCATTCAACTAGATCTAGATCATCTGTCAATATAGGGGACACAGCCAAAAAAGAGACGGCTCAAGAGAAAAGCTCAAGTTCATCAAAGGGGAAAGGTAAAGCTGTTCTGAAGCCCACTCAGGAGGATGGAAGAGGACCACAAACAAGAAATGCTGCTCGCAGGAGGGCTGCTTTGGATAAAGATGCTCAGATGAAACCTGAAAATGGGGAATCTAGCTCTGAGGTAAATAACAGAAGCGTGAGACTTTTCTATCTGTGATGGATGCAAGGTGCTGTGAACTTGAGCTTGAGGTTCTTGGGTTCATAATAATCATATTTATGCAGTGGACGGTTTGTCTTCAATTATGGAGTAGATATATTCTTGATGTTTGAGTAGTGAAACTATTTCAATAAAGCTCCTGAAGGAAATTAATTTGTACAGGCTAGCATAGCTGACTGTATATAACTGGCAGGCAGTCTAATTGAGAATCATTGGTGGAATTTACATAAGTTCTATTTCCTGATTAGTCCTCTCCTTTCGAAGCCTATGATCTTAGAATCTCTAGAGCAGCTGGCTTGAGAAAAAATAGACCTCTGTGGCGTTGGTACCATTAGAACAAGCATCGTCTTCGGAAGTCTTTCCACGAAAGGGAAGTGAAATGAGTTTCTTGATCCGTTGTCACTTGGGATATCCCGTGTTTGGGCAAAGTATTCCCACACCCTCTATTCTGAAAATTTACCATGATCCTGTCAACAGGTAAATTAAATGAATAATACTGGTGTGGCAAATGGCTGATGCAGTCGTAATATGGTGCTGATGTTGTTGCCACATCAACTTTAATCTGAGAATCAACTAGACATCACAAACATGGGAAAGGTAAATTTTTTGAAAAGGGTAGAGTTGCTTGCCGATGTGGTGGTGGCTCCATGGTGGCAGAGTGACGTGCTAACCTTTTCACAGCGGCATCGTGGGATGTAGTGCAATGGAGGCAGAGAGTTGAGCGGTCCTGTATGGCCGTGGCTGAGGGCATCACAACCCAATGCCATGTTGGGCAGAGGGTGGCATGACCCTCCATAACCATGGATGGAGGGTTGCTATCCTATGCGCCGGCGGCGGCTAAAAAGGGGCTCTCTGTGGTCCCCCCCTTCTTGCTTTTTTTGTTCTTCTATTTTTTTGATGGTCTTTTAGTAAGTCTGATATTGGTCTTTCATCTTTTGCTTATTGGGGCTGATGTGGCCACATCCAGTATTTTCCAAATTAATATTCTTTAATAATTGTTTAAATCATCGTATTAGTTCTTCAAAAAGGAGGGTGTCAGTGTAATTTTGGGTTGTCCGATTAATTATTTTTCTTTTCTGGATTTATTGCACAATTGATATGCTAGTGGTGTCCAAGAAGTTTGTGAAGGTTGAGTCTGTTGATCCTCTCTTTCTCGAGATTCTATGCTATCTTATATGATTCTCAGATGTTCAGTGTCTTGATATTATCATTTACCGGAGAAACTTTGCAATTCTTCAGTCTGTTAATCTCAACTTTAATGCCTTGTTTTTTGGTAGGATGAGGATCTGGACATATCCCCTGTTGAGATTGATGATGCGTTGGTTATTGAAGATGATGATATATCTGACGATGACGATGACGACCATGAAGATGTATGTCATTCGAATCTTTCATTTGTTCATCCTTGTTATTCTTCGCAGATGTTAATTTTTGTTTTTCTCATTTGCATACCAGATTATGGCTTGGTTATAAATATCTGAATTAGCCTTTTTGGTTTACACAGAAAAAACAAGCCCTTTTATGAAAGATTTAGTGATGTAGTAACTTTTACGGGTCTGTACTTGCTGCATGTGGAAGATGGCACCTCAATGATGCAATAATGTACTTGCAATTATGAGGCTCATTAATTAGTTTTCTGATTTTGCGCTGAGGCAGCCATTTCCTTTGTCTTAGGTTCTAAGAGATGATTCTCTTCCTGTTTGCTTGACTGACAAAGTACACGATGTCAAATTGGGCGATTCTGCTGATGATAGTGCTACAAACCCAGCTACAAGTGACAGCCAGACCAACCCTTCTGGTTCTAGCAGTAGAGCTGCTGCTTCTCGGCCCTCCGATTCTGCTGATTTTAGAGGTGGTAATACCTTTGGTACTAGAGGAGCAATGTCTTTCGCTGCTGCTGCAATGGCTGGGCTTGGATCTGCTAATGGTAGAGGTTTTAGGGGAGGCAGAGATCGTCATGGACGTCCTTTCCCTAGTAATAGTGAACCTCCAAAATTGATCTTCACAGCGGGAGGGAAGCAGCTTAATAGGCATTTGACCATTTATCAGGCCATCCAACGACAGCTCGTGTTGGATGAGGATGACGATGAAAGGTTTGCTGGCAGCGATTTTGCATCTGGTGATGGAAGCAGGTTGTGGAGTGATATATACACAATTACCTACCAGAAAGCTGATGGGCAGGTCGACAGGGCATCTGGTGGTAGTGCCCCTTCGAAGTCTGCAAAATCTGGTTCTTCCACCTCCTATTCCGATGTCCAGTCACAGCGAATGTCCCTTTTGGACAGCATATTGCAAGGGGAGCTTCCTTGTGATCTAGAAAAATCTAATTCGACATACAATATTCTGGCACTTTTACGGGTATTGGAGGGATTAAATCAATTAGCACCTCGTTTGAGGGCTGAGATCGCTCGCAATGACTTTGCTGAAGGAAGAACATCTAGTCTAGATCGACTTAGTACATCTGGTGCTAAAGTTTCTCCTGAAGAATTTATGAATAGCAAACTTACGCCTAAATTGTCCCGGCAAATACAAGATGCCCTTGCATTGTGTAGTGGGAGTCTTCCATCGTGGTGCTCCCAGTTGACAAAAGCTTGCCCATTCTTGTTTCCTTTTGAGACCCGTAGGCAGTACTTCTATTCGACTGCTTTTGGATTATCCCGGGCATTATATCGTCTGCAACAGCAACAAGGTGCTGATGGGCACGGATCAGCAAATGAGCGAGAGGTAAGAGTTGGGAGATTACAGCGCCAGAAGGTTCGTGTATCTCGGAACCGCATCTTGGATTCTGCTGCGAAAGTAATGGAGATGTATTCTAGCCAGAAAGCTGTGCTTGAAGTTGAGTATTTTGGTGAAGTTGGAACTGGTTTGGGTCCAACCCTGGAGTTCTACACTCTCTTAAGTCACGACCTGCAAAAAGTGGGGTTGGAGATGTGGAGATCAAGTTCATCAGAGAAGCCTGCAGTGGATGTTGATCTGAATGAACAGAGCAATGGTAAAAGCATCAGTACAGATTCTGCCGTGGAAGATAGAGATACAGTTGTGGCTCCTCTCGGGTTGTTCCCTCGGCCTTGGCCTCTTAATGCTGATATTTCCGATGGCAGTAAATTCTCCAAGGTACTTGAGTATTTCCGGTTGGTGGGACGTGTAATGGCTAAAGCTCTTCAAGATGGACGGCTTTTGGACTTGCCAATGTCTCCAGCATTCTATAAGCTAGTGCTCGGACAAGTAGGCACCTTCCTCGTAATCTCTTTCATGAAAGCCGCATTTCGCATAAAGTGATATAATTCCGTTTCATTTTATCCAGGAGCTTGATTTGCATGATATCATCTCTTTCGACGCCGAGGTTGGGAAGGTATTGGAAGAGTTGCATGCTCTTGTTTGCCGTAAACAATTTCTGGAATCAAGCAGTGACAACAATCAAGATGCAATTGCTGATTTACGTTTTCGCGGGGCTCGAGTTGAAGATCTCTGTTTAGATTTTACACTTCCTGGTTATCCGGACTGCATCCTGAAGTCGGGGGACGAAACCGTATGGGATTATGACTTACACTACTAATGTATCTAGAGCTTTTGTTCTTTATTTGGAATTTAATTCCTTGTTTTTTTCAGGTCGACGTAAATAACCTGGAGGAATACTTATCCTTGGTGGTTGATGCGACAGTCAAAACGGGAATTGCTCGACAGATGGAAGCATTCAGAGCAGGGTTCAATCAGGTTAAGTGCCTTTGTGGTCTTTGATGAAATAAGTTTATGTGCAATGGAACCATTGTTATAATAACTTCATCAACTTTGTTGCCTGAAAGAGACAATCCTTTATAAAAAAAATTATGTGATGTGAAAACAAGAGGGCTATGGCCATACAGCTTTGATAAGAATGGCATAAAGTATTGTGCAGTTATACCAAATATCTTGATTTGAAGTTTCTGTTGTGGCTTTATTCTTGCATTGCAACTCAGTTGACTCATGCTTTAAAACTAAAAATATAATGGGAAGCACGATTCTCTTTTCTCTCTTTAGACTTGTACCTGATTTGTGGTTCACGGTGATCAGGTTTTTGACATCTCATCTCTACAAATATTTACTCCACATGAACTGGACTATCTTCTCTGTGGCCGTAGAGAGATGTGGGAGGTAAATTTTGCATTGGCATTGTCATCAAGCTTTACAAGACAGATGGCAATGTATTTTAGTTGTCCATAGAAATTGCCTCACCTCTCTCTCCTTGTCTTCTATCCCAGGCGGATACACTTGCGGAGCACATCAAATTTGATCACGGCTACAATGCTAAGAGCCCAGCAATTTTATATGTGTGTTTCTTCAGTAGCTCTGGAGCTCTGTTTTGGTTGTGGTTATTATCTTATTAATAGCTCACAGATTTTTTTCGTTTTCATCAATAGTTACTTGAGATCATGGGAGAGTTCACACCTGAGCAGCAGCGGGCCTTCTGCCAGTTTGTTACCGGGGCTCCAAGACTTCCACCAGGTGGTCTGGCTGTACTGAATCCAAAGCTAACAATTGTGCGGAAGGTATGAAAAGTATTAGATAACATGGATTCATATCGAAGGGGCTCTCTTGATTTTTGCATTACTTCATGAACTTGCCAAGTAGCATCAGATATGGATTTACAAGTACACTTAGCATTTTGTGTAATTTGGCTCCTAGCTCATGTGGATACTGTTGGAATTCTATAGGCAAGCTTCTTCAATGACTCAATTTTATGACGATCTAGCTGCATGTGCCGATTTAGTTGTGGATCACCAAGTAAATCCAAGCCGTAATCATTTTGTACTCATTTATGCAGCATTCTTCTACGGCCAGTACTGTACCATCTAATGGAACTGGTCCTTCAGAGTCAGCAGATGATGACTTGCCAAGCGTGATGACTTGTGCTAATTACTTAAAACTTCCGCCATATTCTTCAAAGGTACCATATATAATTGTAGAAGTTTATTGTGCATCTGTTTACTGTCATTAGTCATTTGCATCTATCGCTAACTATTTGCTGCAACCTAAACAGGAGATTATGTACAAGAAATTGCTTTACGCTATCAATGAAGGGCAAGGATCTTTTGATTTATCGTGAGATTTTAAGACTAACAAAAAGGTCTGTGTATATTAGAACATAGGGTCAATATCTGGTCTTTGATGATATTGGTGTTGGAAGTAGCATCATGTTCTGCAGTTTTCCCAAGAAATGGCCTCATTTTTTGTCCTAAATAGAGGCAATCCTAAGGTCAGCTCTGCCATCCCATGTAAGGTTTTGCAGTCTGGTTTTGTTGGCAGCTTCTGTTTTTCTCGGCAACTTTTACTGAGTCTTTGCATCTTCTTCTTTCAGATTTTGATTGGAATCTATTCAGGAAGCCTGGAGCTGTGAGGAGAGAGAATTTGAAGCCTGCCCTTGCAGCCTGCTAGAGCGTGTAAATAAATAGTGCCCATTTGTTTTTGCCCCCTTTCCTGTTAACTTGCTCTGTTTAACTATCATACATGTATGTCATAAAAGATGGATTTGAAGGGAATAAGAAACAACACAAATAGCTTTATCCTCTTCTATACCTATTTTCAATGTTTATTCTATTATTGCATGATCGAATGGAAGTGATTTCGTTCAATTGGTTTGCTTGAGGATATGTAGTGTCTGCACATGTGGTTTCTGATGTAGAAAGAAGAGAGTTTGGTGGAACCATGAGGATCAGGGAACCATCCGTGCTAATTATGTTTGATGTTTTGCCATTTCATGTTTGAAAAATGTACTGCGGGCGAGTTTAATCTTTGTGCAAACTGTTCTTACCTGAGATGCTTCTGTGGTTTCCGATGGAGAGAATACGCCGCTTGGATCCCCTCCTATGAGCCAGAAGATCTAGTCTTTAAAGCCAGTTTGTGGTGGTGTGTTCGAACATTTTCGCATTAGGATGTTTGCACAAGGTTCACGTTAGATGGTAGGCCTTTGAAGGAAGGATAAAACCCATCTCAGTTTGGAGCAAAAGTTGTCCTTCCCAGCCTTTGCTGTTGACAAAATTGTTACGTGCACAATTGAACTTGTCCTACCCTCATCTTGTCACCTAAATTTATGCTCAAATACATGAAAATGAACTGAATATGAACCCTCTGATAACATAACCAGGTTCTGGAAGGATACCGGCAAAAAAGAAGTGGTAGGAAATAGGACCTTTCTATCTCTCTTTCTGTCAACAAACAATGCATCACCTAGTCCAATTCCACGATTATGACTAGATTGACCAATAATTGTTCATATTAATTCGCGGATTTCGAGTGCTTTGGTAGTCCCGACCTATGTCGGCCCACTTTGCAAATTTTCCTTTTGGAGGTGAAAAGATCTACTTTGTACCCCTGATATGGTCCATTGTGCCCCAATTGAAGGATTTGGATATCTTGGGGTCTCTCCTCTTATGAACAGCATCATGCCAGCCTTTTCTCTTTCGTGAACTCTCATCTGCATTCATCAAGCTCAAGTATTTGAGACATTACTTGGACTGAATCTGATGCAATTTTAGCACCATTCCTCCAAATCTTCACGGATGCACATCTCGAAAAGCGTGGAGCATGGATTTTACTTCATTCAGGATGAAGTCTCCGGGTACATACAGAGGATGAAAATTTATTGATGCGTGGTGAAAAATTACAAATGTTAGCTAAGTAATGCTTTTAAAACCATCTGTAAAGGAAACTTGTAGGACCCTCCGTGCTTCTAGTGGGAGCACTTGGCCTGGATAGCTAACGTCTTCATGATGCTGGGACAGCCGTCATTGCCCTTGTTGAAGAGCCCTCGCTCGATCGGAACCGCGCAGCTAGTTTTCCCCAGGCAATGTTTCTCGACGACGTCCTTGGAAATGGGTGAAGTGCACTTTCCGTAGTTGAAGTTTCCGCAGATGCCGTATGGGTCGCCGAAGCTCGCAAACTCGATGGCCACGATCTTCTTGTGGTTTGCACACTTCAAGTGCGCCGCGGGTTTCGCATCCTCCACAACCGGGCGGAAGTGGTTGTTCTTTCTTGCCCATGACTTCACGCTAGGGGGATGGTACTCGGTGATGTAACTGCAGATGGTGTCTCTGTCCACATTTAGGATCTCTACTGAACCAGGGTTGCCTCCGTCTTCGTCCAGCACGACGAGTAGATTGTCGGTCGGCTTTATGAAGGATCTTGGGATATGGTACCTGACAAAGCAAGGAGCAAACCGGATAAATCACAAACGTGTCACCTTACTTGGCAGTATCTTTCTTGGGTGAAGTTTCATAGGTACTTACTCCGACTGACTAGGCTGTCCGAGAGGAGAAAGGTAAGTGTACCAGTAGCGGCCAATGCTCTTGCCATTGACCCAAACCATTCCCTTGGTCATTTGAGGCAAGCGAATGGCGACGGGTTGATTTCCTTCTGGAGCATCGAAGTATGTCTGCAAAAGCAATGATCCATAGGCGGCGCATTAGACGGTCTTATACAAGACAATCAAGTTTTCAGACGATTCGAAAACTGTAGCTAGTCAAATTTACACTGAAGTTTTCATGGAATCTCCTCAGGAATTCAGAAACTAGCCGAGTGTTGATGGGATGCTAATGTTGGATCTATTGTCATACTCTCTGCATTTACTAGTAAAATTCCAATCTCATGATGATCTGCAGTGCGATAATTCAGGATGCCGCGAAACGATCGTGGTATGTTGTTAGAGAGAGAGAGAGAGAGAGAGAGAGAGAGAGAGAGAGAGATCATTTATGCCTTACCTTGTACCATGTAAGAGCACGCCCGACTCCCTGAGTAGCTTTGGTCCATTGCACTCTGTGCGACCCTCCCTGCGTGTATACGCGGACCTTCTCTCCATCCAAGCCCACCTGTATCACAAATCCCATTTCATTTCAATCAATATCATTTGTGAAAACAGGATGGTTTGTCTACTTTTCACCACAGCCAATGTTACTTTCTTGAGTCATGTATTTGACATATGATCCCTCTCAAAATTTTAATCTGTACCTGATGACCCCAGCCATTAAGGGTTAAATCCAGTGTCCCGGTGTTCAAACCTAGGATTGTCACTAGACGAGGCCCTGCGAATCGGTGCTCCATGTAGGCTCCGCTATCCTGCACGACTTGGTAAGCTTCATCAGCCTAGTTCTTGAGTTGGAGGAAAAAGCACAGTTAGAATCAATTAGCTCCTTACAGGGAATCCCACTGTTGAACCCAACAGAGAAATGTGGTTCACTCCAGGCTTCAAGACGATAGGCTTTTGCAGGACAAAGCTCTTATCGATGTGACTGCCATGGGAAGATCCTGAACAATATCATCGATGGGCTCTATTAATTTGCCTAGGAATGGCTAACAGTTGCTACTCTTGAGTGTTTAATAAGTCAATTGTTATGCTGAGAGTGAGATTGGTTACCGACAAATTCTCCATTTACAAATGCAAGCATTGCATGACCGAGACTGGCAACGCGCAGAACCGGCTTTATATCTTTTCGCATCGGGAGATCACGGGTTTCCAACTCTATGCTGCAGTGAGTTGGTGCAGCATTCCAATTTTTCACTTCAGTGAATTGCTATTACCAAAATTTTGCTCTCTTGACTGAAGGAAAAGCATCAATACTCACCTTGTCGTAAACCAAGCATAATCTGTGGTATCTTTAGTCAAACTGTAGAGCTCAGCTGGTGTCTTGGAATTGACAGGCACTCGGCTGGTGTCTGGAATGATTTCTGGTGACATCTCCCACTTGAGCTTGTTTGCCTTCTCTGATTTGACGTAGTTCCTCGAATTGTGTTGCGATACAATCTGCTCATGCCAATTACAGAAGAACACACATCAGGCGCTCGGCCGTTCAATGGCTGATAGCTACAAGAATACAAGGTCTCCTTATTTAATCAATCAGTGCAAGGCTGAGATAAAGAATAGACAAGCAACGCTCACATTTTGAGTGTTGTAAACCACGGTTTTGCAGTCGGGAAGAATGCTGATAGAATGTGGGGGGAGATAGTACTGCTCTCCCCTAAAGTTAACCGCCTGAGGCAACACAGTGTTGTTGTTTGTCAAGAAAGCAGCACAGACTTTAGTCCCTGGAATCTCGTAGTACCTGGCCTGCATGGAGCAAGTTTATTTGGTCGATAGTGAGAAGAACCCTTCTTGCAGACTACATGTTACTGATCAAACTCCCTAGTGCTGCTGTAACATCATCTTAGGCTATTACCTCGAGATCCTTAGACAAACGTTGGACATTGGGACTTCCCCAGAGCAAAGGCTTCCTACATAGCCTTAAAGCCCTGTGCAGATCTTTGAGATGGCCCCATTTAGGTTCCCTTTGGAGGCCTTTAAGCAATGTTGGTCAGTCACATATTTACAAGAGTAATCACAAGAGATAATTCTCAGGGACAACGAAAATTTTATTCCTACCATATTCATCAAGAGGAGCTTCATCGTAGTAGCGAGTTGTCGTGAATACAGCGCTTGTTCTACCGAGATTTGTTCCGCCATGGTACTGCAGAACATATGGTGGACAGTTTTATTACATGGTAACGAATGCTATCAACCAAAAGTGAGGAAATTAAATGCTGATGTTTGAGACAGAGCAGAAGAGAAGCCACTCCATACCATGTAGTAGTTAGTCAAAGTCCCATTCTTTGCAAAGAAACGAGCAACGGAGAATGCAAGATCTTCTGCTGATCTTTGGGATGGTGGATCTCCGAATACTCGGTACCTGCAATCATTTAAGAATAAAGCAAACAACAGGCATCATTAGCCAAATACGAAGAGCTGACATAGTCTGTCATATATTTGTCAAGTTTATTGATGATAATCAAACGGAGGTTTGAGATGACACTGGTGCAGTATGCTTACTGAGCAGTCCAATTCTCAGTCCATAAAGTTGGCTTGTAGGGCCTATTTGGGCCTGTGAAGGTATCACCGCAGTGCCTTCCATTGCATGCATTAATCTACAAAGACGGTGTAACCCATGCGCGTGATTAATCTTAGGACACATTGAGTGCACAATAAGCAAGTCCTTTCATATGTAGTGAGTGTTAATATGTTGTGAATGCACTTAAATACGTACGACTGGATCAGGAGCGTCCTTCTGCTTGCACATGATCCACGGAACTCCTGTTTTTAGCCCTACGGCCATGTTTCCAGCCCATTGAACATATCGGGTTCCTGCATCTCTGTATGCAAGTTGGATGCTATTGTACTCATTCTCAATCTGCATGGCAAGGCTAGAAACTCACTACGACTGCAAATTAGAAATTGATCGGCATTTATCTTCAATAAATGCCTTACATGCTTCTAGGTGGCGAAATTGAAGTAAGGTCTATACCTGAGATAGAATGATGGGACCCCCTTGAGAAGCAAATAGCTTCTCATCTTTCATCTTTTGTACAATCATCTTGACGTACTTTTTCATGTGATACTGCAGAATAGGAGGCATAGACCAGTTAGCAGAGCACTTTTGATTCTTTTTCCTGAAGAACGTATGATTTCCTGAATTCGGTGAGGCACATTACCTTGAATGGTGGGTTGTCGGAACGGAATGTGATATTTTGAACCTCTCTCAGCC